TGGCCATTCGTGCTCGTCTAATGCTCATCCAACTCTGCTGTCCAGTCCCACGACTCGTTCATTTCAAGCGACATGACGCGCTTCCTCGCTTCCCCCACCATTCCATCTTCGCCACCATCAGCGCGCTCGGGAACTCTGCAATCCCCGAGCGCGCCTTCTTCGCCCGCTCAACAAGGCATCTCGTTCTATGGCGCTGGACTCGACATGAATGAACTCGATAGATATTACCAATTAGCAAGTCCCGCGTCCGGCGGATCGATGTTATCTCGCTCTGCCTCGTTTTATACCCATTTTTCTTCTCCTTCCCAAGACTTTCAACCGTCATCTCCGGTATCTGGTTCAACAATCACCAAGCTTTCGTCACCAATGTTTCCACCCCCGGCTAGTCCGCCTTCTTTCGCCACCCAATTATCGTCTCAGGCGCATACATCTGCTCAAGACGACTGTTTGACACCTCTCTTACCTCCCCCGGTTTCTGCCTCCTCGACTTATCCTCAATCGCCGGTTGTGGGCCCACCTCCCGCGCCCCTGCCCCCGTCCTCGCCCCTGCCAAACACGTCATCATCCCCGTTCGAGGACGACCCGTTTATCGAGACCACACGCCCTCCGACTAGAACTGGGACACTCCCTATTTTAGACAATACTTGTTCTCTCGATTACGAACTTCCAAATGTCGGAACAAGTTCCACGGCCGAGCTTCCTGGACCTGTGAAACGGCGCGGGAGAGTTTATTCGACGCGCGCACGGCCTTCCAAAACGCGTGCTGGTCCGCTTGGTGCTGGCGCTGGCGTGACCAAAGCGCCCCGTATCAAGTCGAAGGTTCCTACTCGAGCACGGAAGGACAAATACAATCATCCTGCCGCTGGTCGTGAGCCTGGATCTTCTACGCATCCTGGACAGGATCCTGTACCTACTTCTGCCTCGAGCTCATCCATGCCGTACCTCTCGCCGGCTGAGCTCCTTCCCACTGGGTTAGGTACGCGTTTTCTTCCTCTTGTCAGCGCACAACTCACGTCCAGCCCTCATTCCAGCTCCTCCACCGGATGTATGCGCAACTCCTGTTCTAACCCCTCTTACTCCAACCGGACTCGGTAGTGGGTCTTCCAGTCAAGCCATCTCCGCTCGATTCACGCTTCCTACTCCCGCAATGACGGCCTCGTTCGCTACGCCTTCTACCGCCACCTCGCTCGCTACTCCGACTTCGACTGGCTTGCACTGTCCACCCGAAGTTGTCAATTCATATTCTACGCCTGCGAGTTTCGCGACTGGACTGCGAGACGGAGCTAAACGTAGAAGGTTTACGAGACATGCTACCCCTTCACCTATTTCCGTCCCTGAGCACCTCGGGATGTTGGACGACCAAACTGTTGAAGTGCACGCGAAAGCTGCTGGATGCGCCTCTGCCGGTGAAGAAGTACAAGTGCCCGAGAAGGTCGAGCCGGACACGGAAGGTATGAATCGACGAGCTAATACTGTACAGCGTTCCTTTGCTCATGCTTATATTTATAGATTATTTAACCCGTGGCGAGGGCGTTACCAACGTTGCACCGACCAACGCCAACGACCGGCCTCCTGGGGTCTTGGAATCGGTTTCGCATCTTAAACGTAGCAAACGGGCTCGCGAGGAGACTGACGACGACACGTATGTTGCGAAGAGAGCCAAAGAGAATATCGGTGTGACTAGAAGGAACGAAAAGGTCAAGCTCGAACCAGTAAGTCATTACTTATCTTTCTTCGTGTCTTTAATGCATGCTTGGTGTTGCGCTTGACTAACCTGCTCTCGG